TTCCGGACAGTTGCGGGCAGCTATTTAGCTGCTGACCCAGGACCATACCATACCCAGGTCCACCCTTCTAATTGTCTCAACGAAAACAGCCAGTTAGGCTCTTAATTCTTCTATTAAAAAAAAAATCAGTGTTTCCTGTTCTATGCCTCTTTGGTATTCAAGACCATGACATCTTCACATGGATGGTCTGGGAGTTGGTATGAATTAGAAGTGCTGAAAGATGTGAGAGTTAGGTGTAAGTGACAGTAATGGTTACAATACATGGTGAAGGAGTACAGAAGATCCCAGGACTGGAAGGGGACGGTGCTGGGAAGCAGCAAGGCTTGGAATTAACTTTTGTTACAATACGTGACCATCTAATAGCTGTCACCCTCTCACCAGTTACTATGGTGTATGTGGGTTGGTCTCTTCTGGTAGCTTTGAGTCTTCAGATAGTGATAAAAAGTGTTACATTAGCATTCTCCAGAGAGACAGATCTAATAGGATATATAGATACAGGGATGAGAGGAGGCTGATTAGGGGAATTGGCTTGTGTGACTGTGGAGGCTGAGAAGCCCCACGACAGGCTGTTCTCCAGCTTGAGACCCTGGGATGCCAGTCCAAATCTGACGGAGCCACACTACCGGCATCAACCCTGACTGGCAGTTATACTTGTCTCCTTCTGTGCATTTGGCCTGAGAACCTACCTGGGGGGCTGCCAGTGTAAATCCCGGAGTTCAAAGGCCTGAGAACCTGGAATTCTGATGTCCAAGCACAGGAGAGGAAGAGTGTATCAAGCTCCAGCAGACGACAGACACAGTTGCCTTTTCTGAGTTCATCTGGACTTGCATGCCAGTCCCCTCTGGAACCACCCTCAGACACACACCCAAATAATGCCTTGCTGGGTTTCTAGGTATTCCTTAATCCAGTCAAGCTGGTACCTAACGTTAACCATCACAAGTGTCTTGCGTTTTACTTTTTCTTTTTGATACGGAGTTTCACTCGTTACCCAGGCTGGAGTGCAATGGCGCAATCTCGGCTCACCGCAACCTCCGCCTCCTGGGTTCAGGCAATTCTCCTGCCTCAGCCTCCTGAGTAGCTGGGATTACAGGCACGCGCCACCATGCCCAGCTAATTTTTTGTATTTTTAGTAGAGACGGGGTTTCACCATGTTGACCAAGATGATCTTGATCTCTTGAGCTTGTGACCAACCCGCCTCGGCCTCCCAAAGTGCTGGGATTATAGGTGTGAGCCACTGCGCCTGGTCGTGTTTTACTTTTCCTAATGTGTCTAAGGAGCTCTGAAGACCATCTTTCTGAAAGGCAGGAAGAATGTACTCTGCATGAGGTACTGGGCTAGTCAGTCACGTGTCATTTCCCAGCAGGGGATTATGTATAGATTGCTGAGTGAATTGACAGCAATTTTTTAGACATCTTTTTAGATCCTTGTACAGCATCCCATACTGGTTTTATGTTCATGTACATGTGTGTGCATGTATACACATTACTCCACTACAAAGTACAATCTTATACCTTTCCTGGTTGGGGCAGTAGAGAAATTTTACAGCCTACAATCAGACACATCTGGAAGAAGAGTGTATGATACGGATACCTTAAAAATTAGCACATTTAACAAAGTATAACTATTTGGTTACAAATAAGTTAATGTTCTTCCCTTTATTTTTCAAAAGGCTCATTTTTCTCCATTTCTCTACTATAAAAGTCAAGAACTGCCCAATGGCTCTGTCAAGGAGGCTCCAGCTCCTACTTTCGCTTCTCTGAAAGTCTCAAGTCCGTCAGATACTACAGAGGAAGTAGATCATAAGCCCAAACTCTGCAGGCTGGCTAAAGGTGAAAATGGCTATGGCTTTCACTTAAATTCGATTCGGGGTCTGCCAGGCTCATTCATCAAAGAGGTATGGTAATCTGGTTCCAGCGGCTCAACAAACACAGCCACAGTTAGGATAGTCTCAGCTTCTCCCACCCATTGATGGTTTAGTAGAGAGACTACGTTGAAGGCACACATCGAGGGTCTCACGTGGGTTCAGATCAATGTTGTCATGGTCCCATACCTTCAGGTTAGCAACCAGTATGTTGTCAGCTCACATTTTTTTGCTTCTCAACCGTCTGTTCCCAACAGTGTGAGCTGACTGAACTCTAGTTGACAGTCACCATCAGCCCTGTCAGTCAGTCATACTTGTTTGCTTCTGTGCATCTGGCATAACACCCCTTACCCTGTCGGGACTGATAGTGAGAAGACTCCCTATAGCTCTGAAGTTGGGAGTGAAGAAGGGGGATCTGTTCATCCCGCTTCACCCCAGAACACATATAATATGACACGGAACCACGATTTATAATACTGCTAATCATGCGAGTATGGAAGTTACAGCTTTCAGAAATAGAAAAGCATCAGCTCTCTCAACTTCTGTACCTCAAGGAGAAATAATAACATGGTTAAGAATAAATTCTTGAGCTCCTCATCTCTCCCCTGAAGGAGAGCTGGTCTGATGTGCCCTTCTCTGTATTTGAAATAGGTAACGCAGGCCTTCTGTTCACAGGTGCAGAAGGGTGGCCCTGCTGACTTGGCTGGGCTGCAGGATGAGGATATCATCATCGAAGTGAATGGGGTGAATGTGCTGGAGGAAGCCTATGAGAAGGTGGTGGACAGAATCCAGAGCAGTGGGAAGAATGTCACACTTTTAGTCTGCGGAAAGCAAGCCTATGACTATTTCCAAGCTAAGGAAATCCCTATTGTTTCCTCCCTGGCGGATCCGCTTGACAGCCCTCCAGATTCTAAAGAAGGAACAGTGGTGGAGTCGGAGCCTGACTCACACATGGCGAAAGAACGAGTGAGTGTTGGTCTGTTTCTTTCGTGATCTAATTCACTAGGGTGTGGGTACAGTCCCTAATGAGTGTGTTTATTGTCTGTTTGCTACAGCTTTCTTTAAAAACTAGAAAATGACAATGTAAAGATAACTAACAAATCAAGTTATTGTAGAGGACAGGAGGCAGTATAAGGACAACAGATTTCTTTCACAGCATGCAGTTGACAGCAGTTGTCTAGAGCTGATAACAGGTAAAAAGTTTATCAGTATTGTAATGGGAACCCCCCAGAAAAGCCTGAATCAGATGATCTCGGTATGAATTCTGGTTCTGTCATCGGTCAGCTGTGGGAAAACAGATTTATTTCTTCCGTTCCTCAGTTTTCCCACCCATAAAACAGGGATAATTGTTATCAGGATCATGTTAACTAAGATTATTCTTAACTATATTAATAAAGTGCTTTGAATAGTTCCTGGCTCACAGTGAGTACGTAAATGGTGATAGTCAGACAATATTGTTTAAAATAATTGACAGGTAGTCCATTTTTTTTTACTAGGAAAGATTAGGCATTCTATATATATTTGGATTAAATTTCTTGATAAGTGTCAGTTTTATATTTTTGCCCAATTTTTCATAGATGAATTCGAGGTCCAAAAGTAAACGGACTGATCCAAGTTCATAAAGGAAATTTATAGCAAAGCCAAGACTCTAAAAAAGTTTAACTCAATATTGTTCTTCTTTCCATTAATTTAATTCTAATTGGTGGAATACTAACTTGAATAAACCCAGTTTAATGAACACACAACGCCCACTGATTGTATTCTAGAATGCTTATATAAAGACTATTCTAGTTGTCTTTTAAAAAGTCTGCACTTTCTCTTTAGGATAGTACTATAATTGACTTCCTAGTCTTTTTTTATTTTTTGAGACGGTTTCACCATGTTGGTCAGACTGGTCTTGAACTCCTGATCTCAGGTAATCCACCCGCCTTAGTCTCCCAAGGTGCTGGGATTATAGGCGTGAGCCACCGCGCCAGGACTACTATCCTAGTCTTACAAGAAAAAATATAAACAGACATTAAGGAATTTGTTCACGTGTCAAACAACATGTTGAAAACCGTCAAGTGTAGATTCAGGTCACCTGACTCAGGTCACACGGCCCTAGGCTAGATCACCCCTTCCGTTACTCTACCAACTGTGAACTATTTTTCTTTTACACAGGCCCACAGTACAGCCTCACATTCTTCTTCCAATTCTGAAGATACAGAGATGTGATGAAAACAAATAGCCTCGGCTGTTTATCTGAGAGTTGTTTGTGGGTACTGAACAGGAATCCTTTCTCGAGGAATGAGTTGCCACCTGTTTACTGTCTCTTTAAAGAAAACCTTCACTGGAAACCATTCGTCATGTGTGACTGTCTTCTGTTATTATTTGTCTTTCTGGTGGCTATAGCTGTCGGGTAATTTATGGTTAACTTAGGAAGAGGTAAGGCAGGAGCTAGACTCTTCATGTGATCTCTTCCAAGCTTCAACGTAACTGCATTTCTCTGTATGATGGCTCTTACTCCTACGGGCTCCTTGAGCACCAAAGATGATTCCTAACTCTGTATGGGCGACAGCTGCTTATCAAAGCGTCTTGGCAGATAAGCCTGTTAAAAGCCTGCTTTTGTAACAACGTTGTGGTTGCCTAATACCATTAACAACTGCCTTTTGAGTGCGCTTGATGGTGTTTGTTTTGGATTCACTTTTTATGCTTTAACCTTCATTTGCCTCTAGAAACCCAAAATACAATAGAGATAAGACCTTAGTAATAAAATTCAGAATTTTCTTAAATTGCACGTCTGAGTGTTCTAAAAATTTTCCATCATTTTTCTTTCACAAATGACTTATTCCCCCAGTCAAGTTATTCATGGTTTCACCCCGCAGCATGAGGGGCAGATAGGAAAAAACAGAAAGAAAACATCACCACCGAATTGAATGTAGGATATAATACCTAGTTAACAGGAAATCAAGAAAAAATGACATACCTGAAGCCTCCCTTTTGGTAGAATCTATTTCAGGGACACACCGTCCCCTTCCCGGAAAAGAACAGAAACCTCTTAGTTATTTTAATGTGGCAGGATCAGATGAGGAGGGATGGGATGCTAACTTAGGTTACATAATACCAAGCTATGCTTTATAAAATGAACTTAAGGCCAAAGTGTTACAATCTGATTTTAATGACAGTCAATCTCAAGCGAAAGCTGTAACCTTCTCCATGTGAACCTTAAAACGGAAATCCTGTGTGTTTGGCCAGCTACCGCAGACATCTCTTGCCCCAGAGTTCCAGTGTATTTCTCCCCTTGAGTCTCTTGGCTCCTCTCCGCTTCTGCACCAGCCTCAAGTCCACACAGGACACTCTGCTGAGTATTGTCTTGAGTTACTTCTCTCCCTCATGTTCTGGCTGATGCTACTCGTGATCATAGTATCACCCGGTGGGGAAGGAGTATGTGAGCGGTAAAAATGCTACCACAGCGTTGTGTGTGTTTGTAAAATGTCAGGCCCTGGTTCCCTCCGTTTTCTGCCCCTCTTTTATCTAAATTTTGAGACCACTGGCCTCTAACAGTCTGCAGTAGGCCTAAGTTCAAGGTGCCATATGCTTCTCTGGTGCCTGTTTGTGAGCCAGATAGAGGAACAGTATGCTAGAGAGCGCGCTGACCAGGAAGATCACGTCAAACCAACGGTGGTAGAAGTTGAACTGCAGCTCGCCAAGGACTTCAGTGATTATGGTGCGGTACTCTAGAGGCATACTCATTCGAATCAGCAGCACAGAGGAGACAAAGTACATGCCCTGTAAGTCACATGAATTAATCCAGAAGTGACTAAATGTAGTGAGGAGGAGGACGAAAGAAATTAGTACAATTCTTAAAAGTATCAAGCACATTTCCGATGTTTTACAGTTGTAAACATAAAGCGAACTCATTAAACTTACCATGATCTGTGCTAACAGCAGGACAATGACATTGGAGGACTTACTGCTAGAGATGGCATAAAAGAACTGTCAAGAAAGAGGGAGATAAATGTGTGCCACACTGTTAGATTCCTGTGTCATCAACAATAAGAAATATGGTTAGCATTTGATCAAAAGTGGCTCTTCCATGCCACAAGCCTGTATAGAACAATATGATTAAGGCTATAAACAAGAGATTTAATTTAGACTGCTGAAAAAGGTATCATTTTCCCTGGAGGCAATTTAATTACATAACATGAAAGGATTCCTATTGCTGTCAAACTTCAGAAGCTATGTGATACATATGACTTAACATCCCTATAAAACATTAAGTCGGATCACTCCAGCCCACTCCAAGCATTTGTAATTGTTACTAGGCTCCTGCGCTCTTTCTAAAACTATGCTAAGTGACTACAGATCCCTTCCTGTCCCAACCCCTTCTCTTCCATTTAAACAGCTCCTGGATTCTAAGTCCCTACCTTTCCTATCAGAGAGGGCTCAGTTTCCACCTCCATGAAGTCTTCCTACCCTGATTAGAAAACAGCTGAATTCATTAGGTTCTTCCTCAGTGCCATTTATAGGGTCTTAGAAACAGATTTTAAGTGAAATGATGTATAACAAAACCACATTTTTCTCATCAACATTATAACGAAATGCTGAATGGAACTTTTTTGATGACTTGGTGTATATAGTTCTGCTTAAAGCCGCTGTTTTCCAGAACCTACTGACGACACTGAGGACTCACCATACTCTGCTCCCCTATTCCGTATCTTCTCTGTAAGTGATTCTCACACTTACCCTTCTAGTCTCAAATAGCCGAATACCTGCCTACCATGTGCTAGGTTCATGGCATCATCAGTGAACGAAATAGACCCATATCTTACTCTATTACCTTTGGTAAATGTACCTATCTATAATTGGTATATGATGTAAATATATCGTCAATTTATATAGTAGTTTAACTTTTAAAAAATTCTGTTGTATGTCTTTTAAATACTTGGGACTGTTGTTTAAAGTCTCAGGAGGCAGAATTCTTAATTAGGTAAAATTATCTCATGGTACCATATTTAATTAAACCAATGATAAGCAGTACCTTTTAACACTGTGGTGAAACATACCTTGGTAAGAGTGATCAGCAATCCTCTGATGGATGTGACAATGATTATTCCAACGAGAATGAAGGAAATGTGTTGGGACCAAAACTTCACCTGCCACCGTAACAGGAAGGAAACATAACTGCTCAGTCTCTGTTCAGAGAGATGTAAAGGCTGAACTAGATTCTGATCATTCACATGACCGTGAGAGGGAACTTCATTAGACCCTACCTGATGCTTTCTTTTCTTCAGGGAGAGAGGAAAGCAAGTAAGTGGTAAAAGCACCTACAGAAAGACTGCAGTGGGTATCTTAATTAGCAGACTTACTGAAACCTTAACATTTTTTATTTTTTGTAGAGCCAGTCTTTCTATATGGTCCAGGCTGGTCTCAAACTTCTGGGCTCATGCAGTACTCCCAGATTAGCCTCCCAAAGGGTTGGTATTACAGGCACGAGTCACTATGGCTGGCAGCAAGTACAGAGAAGTGGTAAGAATGATACATGAGAAAAACATGGAAGTGATGGTACAGTGTTACTGTGATGAACGAAAAGCAGGAATGAAAAGGAAACTAAATAATAGCTCGATTATTTTCAGTCTCTATGAATAACAGTTCCCTAACCACCAAGACTTCAAGGAATGTTTCTCTTTTTAACAAGAGTATGTAGACATTCTCAGTTAAATTCTAGGAAATAGCTAAATTCTGCACCTCATTGGAACCACATGATCCTTCTTCTCCTCCTGCTTCACAGTGAGGAGTTTTGGGACCCTGTGTTTGATTCAGTTCCAAAAAGTATCTGAAAGGGAGCTGCTATTACGAACATCTGAAAGATCTGTTATTCAAAATAAAAAAATATGGAGTAAACAGATGAATTACAGATTGTACATATCCATGGCCATTAAATATCCTCAAAAAGTACAGAAAAGGAAAAGCATTGCTAAAAATTCAGCCCAGTAAAACACTTAAATGAAGAAAACATAAATGCAACAAGAGCAAAGCATACTTTTTCTTGGTTTTTGAGATGGGGGTCTCACTCTATCGACTGGACTGGAGTGCAGTGGCACTATATCAGCTCACTGCAACTTCTGCCTCCCCCAGACCGAGTGATCCTCCTGCTTCAGCCCCCTGCGTAGCTGGGACTACAGGTGCATGCTACCATGTCTAGCTAATCTTTATGTATTTTATGTAGAGATGGGGTTTCACTGTTGCCCAGGCTGGTCTGGAACTCCTGGACTCAAGTGATCTGTCTCAGCCTCTCAAAGTGCTGGGACTACAGTCATGACCCACAGGACCTTGCCTGTAAAGCATACTTAATATAATTTGTATACTACTCAAAGAAAAGATACTATGTTCCTTTACACTCAAAGAAGATACACTATTGATTTAGCATCAAGAAGCATGTCCGTTGAGATGTTTCTCAAGGATTGGGCTCAGTTTGCTCTGGTTCACTTTAATTTTATCCAAGTCCCTTTGAGGTCAGGGGCATGTCTGACTGGGGGAGCGTGCAGACTGGTTTAGGCTGACAGCACAGCTAAATGGTCTACACCGGAACTAAGAGTGTGACGTTGGTCTTACTGTTAATGTCCTATTCAGTCAGAGTCACTGGCTCTGATTCATGAATAAAGACACTGAACTTCGATTAGGACGAGGGTGTATTTATGACAGTGGTATTATGAAACAGGTAAAAAGACAATAAAAAACAACTTTGTGCATAGGTGACAGTTGCCATCTTTAGCCCAAGGTCCACATTAACTGATAAAGATCATTTCTTACAGCAAAGAACACTAATTAGTGGCTAATTTTCCCTTGGGGCATCAAAGGTGAGTTGTGTGTTTGAAGAGCTCATCAAGAATCAGAAAGAGAAGTACCTGAACACTTTGGTGGGGAGAAAATGGTAAACTGGCAGCTGGGTACACAAGTAAAGGAGCAACTACAGAAATAATCAGCATCCATGACAATATTAAGTATCAGTCATGACTGCTGGCTTTATGCTAAGAGAATCTTGGCCTTTTACAAATTTTCCATGTGAATACATCAAAACATAAAAATTTTCTAGCAGGGTGTGGGGGGACTGGGTTGGGATAACATTAGGAGAAATACCTAATTAGGTGACGGGGGATGGATGCAGCAAACCACCATGGCATATGTATACCTATGTAACAATCCTGCACGATCTGCACATGTACCCCAGAACTTAAAGTATAATTAAAAAATAAATACAATTCAAATATATTTAACTTAAAAATTTTTTTTCCATGTGAATCCGTCAAACTATACACAGGAGAATGGGAAGAGCAAAAGCAGAAGCCAGTACCTACAGCATGCAAATGACTAACTTAACAATGGGAAGTTGTAGCAGATAAAGAAACATGACAAACCAGAATCTTGATAGAACGCTTACATCAAATTGGATTCCCAGATAATTCACAGTGATCTCAATGCCTCTTGTGACAGGATCTGTTTTCCCAACTCGATCAAAAACAATATTGATGGTGGCCTGCAAAGATGTAGACTTTTATGTTAGAGCATCTTAACAATCACTTACTTTTCCAGAAAGTGACTCAAACTAATAAATAGTCTCTATAACGTATCTTACAGATCAGTGTTCCTAAAAAGGCAATTCTACTCTCAATCCAAACCATATACAGGCAAACAAAAGTCCCTATTTACTCCATCTTTCTTTTTGGTAAAGAGTCAAGGGGAATAAAGCTATGGCATATATGCCTTAATTTATCAGGAGCCAGAAAGGTAACATTCTGGTAGATGAAGTCAGATTAAGAGAATCAAGAAATCCCAGAGTCATACCTTGTGGTTATTTTCTGAATGCTCTAACAGCAAATACTAAAATAACAAAAAAGGAGTTATAGCCAATAAGTCAACGAATGATATCAAAAGGAATCATGAAAAACGCTCAAACTCCAAGATGGCAGTTTGAAAAAAAGGAAAAAGAGAAAAAAGAACAGATGGGACCAATGAAAAGAAATAGCAACACAGGGCCGGGTGCGGTGGCTCAAGCCTGTAATCCCAGCACTTTGGGAGGCCGAGGCAGGTGGATCACGAGGTCAACAGATCGAGACCATCCTGGTCAACATGGTGAAACCCCGTCTCTACTAAAAATTACAAAAAAATTAGCTGGGCATGGTGGCACGTGCCTGTAATCCCAGCTACTCAGGAGGCTGAGGCAGGAGAATTGCCTGTACCCAGGGGGGCGGAGGTTGCGGTGAGCCGAGATCGTGCCATTGCACTCCAGCCTGGGTAACAAGAGCAAAACTCTGTCTCAAAAAAAAAAAAAAGAAATAGCAACACAGTAGTTTAAAATCCAACCACATTAGCCGGGCGCGGGGGCTCACGCCTATAATCCCAGCACTTTGGGAGGCTGAGGCAGGTGGATCACGAGGTTAAGAGATCGAGACCATCCTGGTCACCATTGTGAAACCCCGTCTCTACTAAAAATACAAAAATTAGCTGGGCATGGTGGCGCGTGCCTGTAGTCCCAGCTACTTGGGAGGCTGAGGCAGGAGAATTGCCTGAACCCAGGAGGCGGAGGTTGCGGTGAGCCGAGATGGTGCCATTGCACTCCAGCCTGGGTAACATGAGCAAAACTCCGTCTCAAAAAGAAAAAAAAAAAAAAAAAAAATCCAACCAAATCAAAAATAAAATTGAAACTCATCAATAATCACATTAAATGTAAATGGTCTGCACAAAAGGTGAGCAAGCTCTGCCACTGGAGTGTGACAGCAGCCACAGACATACACAAATGAATGGACTTGGCTGTGTTCCAATAAAACTTTACTTCCAAATGCTTTTGGCAGTGGTTAGGTTTGGCCTGTGGGCTATAGATTGCTGATCCCTGGCCTAAACATGTCAATGAAATGGTTAGATCGAAGAAAAAAGCGAGATTCAACTATACATTGCTTATGAGAAATGCACTGTAATAAACATAAAGATACAAATAGGTTTAAAGTAGAAGGATGGAAAAAATATATTATGCTAACACTAATCAAAAGAAAGCTAGAACGTCAGAGGCTGGGCGCGGTGGCTCATGCCTGTAATCCCAGCACTTTGGGAGGCTGAGGAGGGTGGATCACGAGGTCAAGAGATCAAGACCATCCTGGCCAACATGGTGAAACCCCGTCTCTACTAAAAATACAAAAATTAGCTGGACGTGGTAGCATATACTTAGCTTCCCCAGCTACTCGGGAAGTTGAGGCAGGAGAATTGCTTGAACCTGGGAGGTGGAGGTTGCAGTGAGCCTGAATGGTGCCACTGCACTCCAGCCTGGCAATACAGCAAGACTCTGTCTTTAAAAAAAAAAAAAAAAAAAAAGCTAGGATGTTGATATTAATGTCAGATGAAGTAGATTTCATAGCAAAAAAATACTGCCAGGTATTAAAAGTGACATTTCAGAATGATAAAAGGATCATTTCAACAAGGGGTACACAATGATTCTAAATGTCTATGCACTTAATGACAGAGCTCCAAAATACATAAAGCAAAACTGATAGAAATAAAAAAGAAATGGACAAATCCACAATAATAGCTGGAACCCCCTCTCTCAATAATTGATATAATTAGTCAGAAACTAACAATACTATCAATCAATTTGACACAATTGACATTTATATAACACTCCTGCCAACAAGAGCGGAATATATAACCTACTCAGATACATGTATGAGCTCAAATGACCATATTCTGTCTGGGAAAGGAAACAAGTCAATACATTTTTTTTTCTTTTTTTTAAAGACGGAGTTTCGCTCTTGTTACCCAGGCTGGAGTGCAATGGCGCGATCTCGGCTCACCGCAACCTCCGCCTCCTGGGCTCAGGCAATTCTCCTGCCTCAGCCTCCCGAGTAGCTGGGATTACAGGTACGCGCCACCATGCCCAGCTAATTTTTTGTATTTTTAGTAGAGACGGGGTTTCACCATGTTGACCAGGATGGTCTCGATCTTTTGACCTCGTGATCCACCTGCCTCGGCCTCCCAAAGTGCTGGGATTACAGGCTTGAGCCACCGCGCCCGGCCCAAGTCAATACATTTTAAAAGATTCATATCATACAAAGTATGTTCTTACACCACATGAAATTAAATTAGAAATCAATTAGAGAATAATATTTGGAAGATCCTCAAATATTTTATAACACATTTCTAAATCACCCATGAATCAAAGAGGGAATCAAAGAGAAATCAGCATTTTGAATTGAATGAGAAATACAATTCATTAAAATTTGTGAGATCTATTACAGCAGTACATAGCAAGAAATGTATAGCATTAAAACACCTATATCAGCAAAGGTCTCCAATCAGTGATCTTAGTTTCTATCTTTTTTTTTTTGAGACGGAGTTTTGCTGTTACTCAGGCTGGAGTGCAATGGCGCCATCTCGGCTCACCGCAACCTCTGCCTCCTGGGTTCAGGCAATTCTCCTGCCTCAGCCTCCTGAGTAGCTGGGATTACAGGCGTGCACCACCATGCCCAGCTAATTTTTTGTATTTTTAGTAGAGACAGGGTTTCACCATGTTGACCAGGATGGTCTCCATCTCTTGACCTCGTGATCCACCCACCTCGGCCTCCCAAAGTGCTGGGATTACAGGCGTGAGCCACCACGCCCGGCCTTAGTTTCTATCTTAAGAAATTAGAAAAAGAAGACTCAAAATAAGCAGAAGAAAGGAAATAATAAAGACCAAGGCAAGAGTGAAAACCAGTTAACCCAAAAGTTGGTTCTTTAAAAAGTTCGATAAAATCAATAAACTTCTATTAGACTGATAAAGGCAAAAGAGGGAAGTCACAGGTTACCAATATTAATAACAAGAGAGACGTCACTGTCATACTCATGAGGATGGCTATAATAAAAAAGACGATAACAAGTGTTGATGAAGACGTGGAGAAATTAGAACCCTCGTCCCCTGCTGACAGGAATGTAAATTGGTGCTGCCGTTTTGGAAAAGTCTAGTAGTTCTTTAAAAGGTTAAACATATACTTAGCATATGACACAGCAATTCTACCCCTACATGTACATGTAAGAGAAATTAAAACATATGCTCACATAAAAACGTATACATGAGGCTGGGTGCCACGGCTCACATCTGTAATGCCAGCACTTTGGGAAGCTGAGGTGGGTGGATCACCTGAGGTCAGGAGTTCAAGACCAGCCTGGTCAACATGGTGAAACCCTGTCTGTACTACAAATACGAAAATTAGCTGGACTAACAGAAGACAAGAAATAACCAAGGTCAGAGTAGAACTGAAGTAATTAGAGACATAACAAACCCTTCAAAAAAAGTCAACGAATCCAGGAGCCAGGTTTTTGAAAAAAACCTGAGAAAGGGCATCTGGGGAAAGCCTAATGTCATACTGAATGGTGAGATTGTCAGGAATAAGGGTAGGATGACTATTCCTACCACTTCTACTCAACTTTGTACTGAAGGTTTTAGCCAGTGCGATAAGACTGCAGGAGGAGCAGGAGAAAAAGGATAAGCAGACAGACAGGAAGGAAGCACAGGGGAAAGGAACAACTTAATTAAAACACTGGCAAGGTCGGGGGAGGGGCCAAGATGGCCAACTAGAAGTAGCTGCTGCTGGCGGCTCCCATCAAGAATGAAAACAGCTAGTGAATACTGCACCTTCGGGCTGAGGTAACCAGGCTCTCTCATCGAGACTGACTAGGCGGTTGGCACAACCCACAGAGAGCGAGGAAAAGCAGGGTTGTGCAGCGGCCCCACCCGGGAGCCACACAGAGCAAAGGGAGTTCCCATCCCCAACCAAGGGAGGTGGTGAGTGATTGCAGCGCCCCCCAGGAAACCATGCTTCTTCTACAGATCTGTGTAACCTGTGAATCAGGAGATCCCCTCGTATGCCCATGCCAACAGGGCCCTGGGTCCCAAGCAGAGAGCTGCCCAGATGCTCGGTGGCCACTGGGGTTGCAGCCAGCAGCAGCAGGCTGGAGACTGCCTAAGATGACCAAGTTCCTGGGGCAGCCGCCATCACTGGGGGTCCAGTCTGCCATTTGCCCCTGCCAGTGCTGGGGAGAATAGGTGGTTTGGACCAGGGGGAATTCCCCGCAGTGCAGCACAGTGCTTTGGCAGACGGTGACCAGACTGCTTCTTTAGGTGGGTCCTGGATCCATTCCTCCTCACCAGGCAGGGCCTCCCTGCAGAAATTTCAGCAACTTCAGGTAGGGTTTTATGGAGAGAACTCTGATCTCCTTGAAAAGGAGCCCTTAGGGGTAGGGGTGGTTATGGTCTCCAAAGTTCAGCGGACTTAGTCTTTCCTGCCTGCTGGCTCTGAAGAGTCTGGGCAGTCCAGAGGAGGGGGATTCCCTTTGGTGCAGCATACCTGCTCTGCCACGGGGCAGTCAGAGTGCTTCCTTAAGCAGGTCCCTGATCCAGTGTGTCCTGACTAGGTGAAACCCCTCACCAGGGGTTGCCAGGCACCATATATAGGAGTGTTCCTGTCGCTGGCATAAGGTCAGTGCCCCTCTGGGACAGAGCTCCCAGAG